TGGCATGGGTACAGTGAATGTTTTACCTAGTTGGATCAATTGGAGCCCTGCGTTTTTCGAATTTGGGGTCATATAACTCTTCCAAACTACAAAAGCCTTCACTTCTAATGAAGTTGATTGACTACCCAGGCAAACCACTCTCAGGGAGAGCAAATTGGCGTAGATTTTTTCAGACTTGAGTGCAAGAAATTTTACCTTAAGTATGGGGGAATGCAATCGCCCCCCCTCCCCCCCATATTCCTAAATTTAATAGCAATTTAAAAAACGTAAGTGTTTCCGTAGCATCACCGAAATGTAGACAGTTAGAGCGCAGATTGTCTGTCTGTAGTCCGACTCCTCCCAGGACCGATGTAGTTTTCGTAGTTTTACGTAAATGTTTCCGTAGCATCACCGCAATGTAGATAGTAAGAGCGCAGCTTGTCTGTCTGTAGTCCAACTCCTCCCAGGACCGATGTAGTTTTCGTAAGGTTGCAGTCAGTTAAATATAGGAAGGGCTTATATAATGCGTCTCTACCAGATTGAATGTAGTTAAAATGTTTACATTTTGATTTAAACAAGGATATGGTTATGTTTGATATTTATTAACACAAAAAGTTCATTTCCAGAATTATTGTGCAGAAGGTATCTAGAATTCGTATGTTAATCAGTGCACATAGAAGGGGGCCTGCTTCACCCAGCCGGATCCGAACAACCGCTTCAAGGTTGAATCAAAAATGTCTAAGAACATATAATTTGTAGTAGTGGAGACCTTCAGTTACACCATGTTAACGTGCCCATTTGCATAAATGTCATGTAAGAGAGATGAGGGTGGATCCAACACAACTGTTTCAAGTTTATTCGGACGACAGTTTGACCGTCGATTGGGATGATGTTCTCTGTGTGCTCCACAGCAGTATGAAGTAGTACGATGACATGTGCGTGAGTTCGTTTTTAGGGGCTAGTATGCTTTTAGTGGCCCTAGCAGCCACTTGGGACCCAAGAACTGACGCATGGCGCGTTTGAACTGCGCGCCTAATGCCGCCTGCGGTCGGGCGCTAATTGCCAGCACCCTGTCCGTTCTCGCTCAATGGTCTGAACCACTTACGAACA